CGTTTCTCTTTCCCCCCCCGCCTCTCTCTCTCTCTCTCTCTCTCTCTCTCTCTCTCTCTCGCTCGCTCGCTCTCACACACATACGCATACAGGAGACAAGCCCTGTTCTTCCCTGAGCGGCCGGCTTCTCGCCCTTCCCCCCTCCCCCCTCCCTAGCATCTTCCCCGCGCCGCGGCTCCCTCGCGCCCTCCCCCGGGTTCTCCTCGACGAGTCTTTCTGAAGGCTTTCCATCATCAGCCCAGGCGTCACTTCTCCCTCTCTCTCTCTCTCTCTCTCTCTTTTCCCCCCCCGCCCTTGCCTAACCATTTCCAAGCCGTCTTAGTTTTAATTTAGATTATTATATTTGAATCTGTTGCCCAAATAGTTTGTATGCTGTCGCCAATCACTATACAGACAGAGTTCAGCGAAAGGTCGCGGTGTATTACGGTAATCGCCTACCTCTTTCGTCTAGCACCTCGACTGTCTTTTCCTTCCTGTTTTGCGCACCCAATTGTGAGGTAAAATAGGTAGGTGATACCTTTCTCGGCCTTTTGGCTAAGATCAATTGCACTGTATCTGTTCTGACCAGTTTACTATTTTATCCGTGGCCACATGAAAATAAAAAAAAATAAAAATTAAGTATTTGTTCTGATCAGTGTAGTATCTGATCCGTGGCCACATTGAAAAAAAAAAGAAGGTAGGTGGTTCTCCCACTTCTCGTGCCGACGGTGCGCACTTGCTCGTCTGCCTCGTTTATTCTCCATGGTTCTTTATGGTCTCCCAATCCGCTTGTTTGTCTGCGCCTATTCTCCGCTACGGTCTTCACTCGCAGAGAAGGCCTGGTCAGTGTAGCTGTATTTGGGGCAAGTTTCGGCCTAGATACAGCAGCTAAAATGACCGGGTGTTCTATTTCGGTGAAGACGGTGGTAGCCTTGCAGGCTTTCCCTGTCTCTTTTTCTTTTATGCCGCTCCTTCTCTTTCTTTCCGTCGTTTTTTTTTTTTGGGGGGGGGGGAGGGGAAGGGGGAGGAAAAGGGGGTGGGGGAGGGGAGAGCAGGGTTCCTCTCAAGGAGGGGTTCTCCCTCCCTGCGTCCTGATTTGATTCTCCGTTTTTTTTTTTTTTTTTTTTTTCCAATTTGGACCATTTCTCGATTTATGCGTGTCATCCTTGCGCAGGGGACGGCGACTTGCTACGCTTGCTGGTCAGTTCTTTTTTCTGTTTTTTTTTTTTTTTTGGTTAATTTTTCCCGTGTGTTTTTTATTTGAGATGTAATGCGAAAAAAAAAAAAGAAAGGAAAAGAGATGTAATCCGAAAGAGTTTGGTCGAAAAAAATAAAAATAAAAAGTTTGGTCGGTCCTAGCGAGGGTTTTCAATTGTTGTTGTCGTCATCCATTTCTCGTTCGGAAATCGCGTGGGTCGTTGGGCCTCGCCGTACGAGGGAATCCTATGTATGGCCCTCGCTCCACTACTGACCAGATGCACAAAAAAAGTAAAAAACATGGCGGTGTATCTTCCCATGTTCTAGCGGAAGATTCATTCTCATTTTGTACATTTGGTGATCAGTGGAGCAAGCCCCTATGTCTACATCTGCATGTATATCTTTACATCTTATATGTGCACATGCTTCTCCCAGCCCCTCGTTTGTTGTACTCTTCTTCCTCTGTGCGCACGCTTCACCCCGTAATTCTTTCTTACTTAAAGAATAAAAATAAAAAAATATATAGCCTCCTGATGAGTAGGGAGGTGAAACTCCGACGACGAAACAGTTTGTCCTCTTCTCCTCTTCTCCCTCTCGTTTGTTGTCTTCTTCTCCTCTTCTCCCTCTCTGCCTACGGTTTACCCGGCAGATCTGTGTTGACGATATGTCTTTGTTTTTTACTTTTATCTTTTGTTCAGTGTAAAAAAAATTACAAAACACTGAAAGAAATAAGAATATACTAAAACAATGAAGAAGAAGAAGACACTGTTTTGTGTCTTTCTGGTTTGTCTGTCTCTTTGCCTGTCTGTCCTTCCATTTTTTGTTTTTTTAATATTTTCTTTTTCTTCGCTCATCGTATTTCTTCTTCTACTTCACGTGATTGCGCTCTCTGTCAATAATTTCTCTGTGACAATATATACATAGGGTTCGGCCTCCTGATGAGTCGGTGAAACTCAAACAGATAGGCACAGTCGCTAATCATATGTCTGTGCTGCGGTAGCCAGTCATACGGCTGGCCAATTGACGTGCGGTGCCACTCCCACCCATCTCTTTATATCCACGTCTTCCCTGGTTGCTTCTCCTGTTCTGCAACTACTTTGCTTTCTGTCGAGTCCCGTCATCCGATCGGAAATCCGCTTGTCATTACGTATGTTTGAAAAGTTAATCATTTGGAATAAATGTAATATTTTGGCAAAAGAAAAAAGAAAAAAAAGAAAAAAAGTTAATCACATATCCGACTGTCAACCACATCTTATCCTCTTGTCTTCTTCTTCTTCTTCTTCTTCTT